CTGTTTCTTTTCTCGCAAAAAATGTCACCTTTGTATATGGCAAAATTATCAGCAACATTTTAAAGGGCAAGCATGCAATATGCATGTGAAGATGCTGAGGAAAGAATACGAAAGTTGACAGGCCTACCGCAGGACAGAATAATTGCAACATTATTTCGAGAAAAGAAAATACTATGAGTTTACAGAGGTTAGATTCTGACGGCCCTAAGATGTTAAAATTTTAACACAAATTTTGGTTATGTTTTACCAAACTATGAAAAAGCATCTGCGAAGTGCAGAATGAAAGCGTATTTGAACAAAAAAGCTGCCAAGTACATATCTATGTAAAATAAACAACACCCCCGCTCCATCCCTTTTTATATAGTTACAAACCAGTTTTAAATTCGTCGCTTTAGATGTAGATTTATAATTAAAAATGTGAGATAAAATGGTTTTTTAAAAGTACCACATTTCGCCGATCTAGTAGGGATCTAGTTACTATCGGACTAGTTCGCTTCTGGCGATAAAGATCTAGTACGGAACTATAAATTTGATCCAATAGTTCGCTGTTTCCCTGCAGGGTAATGATCCTGAATAGCACTATAGCGCACTTTTTATTCTAGTGGTATAAAATTGTGAAAATGATGTACAGTTGCATACAAATAAAAAAAATGCAATCAAAAATGCATTTCTTAAATTCATGTGTTAAATTTCTTTTCGATTTTAAAACAGTGGAATCGTGTTTCTCGTCTTAAAATCTATAATATTAATTTAATAAAACGTACAAGAAATTTGTTTTGGAACAAATCCGATGGATTTTGCATGTGTTTTTTTTGAGGAACACTATTTTTTACCAATTTTTTTTAAGGTCAAGGAGTATCATTAGCTTTCAAAACCATTTTGTATCATAGTAAAATATTGCTTCTGTCGAAATCGGTACAATTAATTCGCATGGAGTGTTCAAAAAGCACACTGTGCTACGTAGGGGTGGTGGACCGGTTGTGTCTGTCGAAGTTTTGATATGGTCTATTGTGTTGTGTTGTGATGCTCTAATGTTTCTGTTGAGCTGCTCATGCGGACTGAGGCAGCTCTGTTTGAGCAGCAGGGGGCCACAAATGACGTGGTCCGATGCCAATGAGTCCAAAGCCCTGAGCAGACTATGAGTTTACTCAGTTGACTCCACCCATTGCAAGCATTGCACTTGGCTGAGGTGGAGTTGTGGTCTAGTCGTCTCTGTCAAATCCAGCAGGTGTAAGTTTCTGGCCCAGGGTTTTACTCGATGCCAGCCCTTAGCAGAATAATACGTAGCAGATGTAGCCCAATGGGCGAACAACGTCCAAGATATTTCACCGACCTATACGGGGTTAGATCGCCGAAAAAAAACAGCCCTAGGTCGAGTAAAACCCGTGTCATTCCGGTACGTAGGACCGGCTGTCGTGGGAATGAATTCTTCTTCTTATTTGGCGCTGTAACCGTCTAATCGATTTTGGTCGAGTACAAGAAAGCACGCCAGTCGTTTCTCTTCTGTGCCAACTGACGCCAATTGGAAATGCCCAGTGAAGCTAAGTCCTTCTACACTTGGTCTTTCGATCGCAATGTGCTCCACCCTCCTTCTCTGCTACCAGCAACGGGTTCCGAGTTGAGTACTTTCAGAGCTGCAGCGTCGAATTCCATTCGATTGACATGACCAAGAGAGCGAAGCCGCTGTATTTTAATTCTCTGCGCTATGACCATGTCATTGTAACGCTCATACAGCTCATCATTCCATCGTCTTCAGAAAAATCTTTCTCTCGAATACTCCAAGGGCCGCTCATCGTTTGTTATCATTAGGTGTGTCCTCATATTGACAGAACAAAATTATCCAGCAGAAAAAATTCTGAGAATTTAGCAGCGTTCGCTCTCAAAGAGATAAAATATCCACAGAAGTACGAGATCGTAAAATTTGCAAAAACTTGCAGCCTTCGAAACAGCTGATCACGTCCATGTCCACTGGAGGGTCATTTGGCAATTTGTTTTCTGCTTGGTACATTTTTCCCAATTTTATACAATTGCATACTTTTGGAATCGAAAAACCTTTTTAAAATACAAATTAATTATATCGGAATGAATGAAATATTTTTCCCAAAAAAAGATAATATCCTCCAAACACCCATCCTTGATCCAAAAAAAATTAGTAGACATTTATGTAGGTGCTACAGGTGTACATTTAAAATTATAAAATTCTAATTTCAACAATCAACCTACCAAAACTGACAAATTCGGCCAAAAAAAATTTCAGCTTGCTGCATTTTTATATATTTTGGTATATTTAAACACAATTATGGTACAAATGAAAAATGACATACGGCAACTATAGTCAGCACACACGAAAGTAAACAAACTGGAGATTAATAGTAAATTAACTAAAATAAACTCAACAAACCATGTGCTTAATAAATGTATTCTCTTTTTCGTTGTATACTAGCATTAATAATAAAATTTGAATTAAAAATAAAATTAAATAATACAAAAAGGTCATATTTTCTTTTGTTTATTTACAAACATATGTTTGTGATCGGCTGATTTTCTAACTTGCAAGTTTTCGCTGGGAAACATTTTTGCAGCAGAAATTTGCAGATCTCTATCACATTTTGCTCTCTCAATTTCTCCTACTTTGCAAGTTTTTCGGGTACGAGAACGCAAAACCAGTAAAAGTTTTCTAAAACTTTTGATAGTTTTGCGTACGAGTACACTCCTATTGTCCATGCGTCCGCAGCATGGTGAGTGACTTATAGAGTGTGGTTTTTATACGTCGGGAGAGAACTTTACTCCTTAATTGCCTACTCAGTCAAAAGTAGCACTTGTTGGCAAGAGTGATTCTGCGTTGGATTTCGATGCTGACATTATTATCGGTGTTAATGCTGGTTATCAAGTAAACGAAATTCTCCACTTTCTCGAAATTATAACTGTTAAAGGTGCCAAGACGGGAATGCGCTGACTGTTTGTTTGATGACAGGGGAGACCTCGTCTTGAACTCGTTGACCACCAGACCCATTCACTTTGCTTCCTTATCCAACTTGGAAAAGCCAGAACAGACTTCGCGGTTCTTGTTACTGATGATGTCGATGTAAAAAATTGTTCCTGAGCGGTTCAGTTTTGCAGCTTTTATTATATTATTTTATTATATATAACATCAGATTAAAAAAATCACATGAAAGGGAGTCGCCCTGTCTGAAACCTCGTTTGGTCGTAAACGACTCGGAGAGGTCTTTCCCAATTCTGACGGAGCTGGTGGTATTGCTCAACTTCATTTTACACAGCCGTATCAGATTCGAGTGGATGCCATATTCAGACATCGCGACTGTCTATCTCTGCTCAATAGGTTATGGGATTATTCATTAATCGGAAAAATATTTAAAAAGTTAAATCAACTAAAATGGCAACAGGAACACTCAGCTTTCCTTTTGAAAAATTACGTGGACGCGAAAACTTCCACGTATGGCGAAGGAACGCCAAATCCTACTTGGTGTTGAAAAGTTGCTGGAAGATAACACAGAATGGTTTGTCTGAGAATTCTTCGGAAAAGGATCGTGACGCAAATGAACGGGCGCTGGCAGAAATTACACTCATGGTGGAGCCGAGTAATTTCTCGCACATAGCAAACGCCGAAAGTGCAAAAGACGCATGGGACTCGTTAATGGCAGCATATGAAGACAGTGGTTTAACTCGCAAGGTAGAGCTTTTAAAAAAGCTGGTGCAGTTGAAGCTGGAGCAATTCCAATCCATTCAGGATTACGTGAACGAGGTAGTAACGACTTCAATCAAGCTGCAAAATGCAGGTCTAAATATAGGTGACGAAGCTGTCGCTTCATTATTGCTTGCTGGGTTGCCTTATGAGTATCAAGCACTCGTTATGGCAGTAGAAAATTCAAAAGCAAATTTAACTGTCGATAGCGTTAAGAGTTTGTTGTTGCAAGACGTCAAATTTGACTGCAGCAAAGACTCTGCCGACAATACTTTGTATTCAAAGAATAACCAACAGAAAAAGGGTGACAAAAATTCTAATAAGAAAAAGTTTCGATGCTTTAATTGTGGTCAAGAAGGCCATATGCGTAAAGAGTGTCGCAAGACTATGCAGTCGAAGAAAGCTAATGTCAGTGAAGGTAAAAACAGGACGGCTATGGTTTCCAACTCGTTATTAGCAAGCTCATGCTTTTACTCTCAGAGCGGCGGAAGTTTGTGGAACGTCGACTCAGGCGCAACGTCACATATGACAAATTATCAGCGGTTGCTTTTAAACGAGAGAGCGGCAGAGCACAGCGAAGTGATTTTGGCAAATAAAGAACAAGTGACTGTCAACAGTGTAGGCGATGTCAGGGTCTATGAAATAACTCCCACGAAATAAGTCCCACTTTTAAAAACGAAATAAGTCCCACCAAAAATTGCTATTTTGAAAGTGGGAGTTATTTCGTTTTTAAAAGTAGGACTTATTTCGTCAATTGGTGGGACTTATTTCGTTACGCGTTTTTATTTTAAGTGGGACTTATTTCGTTTTGAATGGGAATAAATTCGTTTTGTAAAGTGGGAGTTATTTCATACCCCTAAATTTATATTTTGGGTGGGATTTATTTCGTTTTAAGTGGGACTTATTTCATTTTCATAATTTTGCATTTTAAGTGAATGCTTAATAATTTTTGCCGTTATTTGTTGCTCTTCACGTTGTTTCTCATTGAATTTCATAATGTTCTTTTTGTTGCTTTTTAAAAAAAATTTATTGTATTGTAGAATATGCTTTCGAAAAGTTCCGTTATTTCTTGCTCTTTACGAAATGAATGGTATTGTTTCAAATTTGTTGTTAAGTGTGCTAGTTTACAAGACCTTATCATTATATTGATTAGTTAAGTTTGTGAATTTCAATAGTGAACATGAGTGTGACATACGAAATAATTGCAGGGAAGAGGAGTAACAGCAAGCTTCTTTATATTTTTTTTGAGAAACAAATATATATTAAAAAGTGCACTAAAGTAGAAAAACATTTTTATGTTTGTTATGTAAAGGATTATCCATCACGAATAATGTTATTTGGCAGCGAGTGCATTAAAGCAAAAAATTGTAAAGCGCACAATCACGATAATCAAGAGGCTCTGTACAAAGAACTAAAATTTTTAAATAATGTAAAAACAAAATGCGCACGTCTTAATGAAAAGCCAACTGAAAACAATTGCGGTGGAAGTATTCGCAATATTTTTGTGAATACTAGCATGGAGTAAGTACCACCCACATGATAATTATTATTTATTAAGTAAGTACTTAATAAAGTCTTTGCAGAAATCAAAACGAAAGCAAAAATATTGTCTTTGATAAAATACAGCGGAGTTTGCAGTATATTGCGAATAAAAATTTTAAAAATTCTCCCAAAACACCGGCAGAAGTGCAGGAAGTTTTCCAAGACGCAGCAGTTTATGATAAATTCGGTTATTCCAAATTAAATGGAAATAAACAATGGCAGTTTTTCAACATATGCTACCAAGAAGAAGACTTTGCATATTGCGTTTTTTGTTCCGAAAGAACTGTTGAACTGATGAAAGAATGCATTCCTGTTAATTCGAAAAGAAACATTTTAATTGATGGTACTTTTTCTGTACTTCCTCTAGGAAGCTTTAAACAACTATTAATCTTACATTGTGAATACTTTGGTTCGGTAATTAATTTCATTCATAACTATATATGATTTATATTATGTATACATATGTATATATTTATTATTTTTTCTATTTTAGGTATTCCCCTTTCTTTTCGTACTGATGACCAAAAAGTCTCTAAAAGCATATCAGCATTTATTTAGTTATATACAAAGGAGCATTATTGATTTGTCACAAGCAACTTTTATAACAGATTATGAAACAGGATTGAGAAGCGCAATTGAAAAAAGTTTCCCTGATTCAAAAATGTTTGGTTGCTGGTTCCATTATTGCCAGGCATTGCGTCGATTCATAACCATGAAGGACAAAAGGCTCGCTCAATATATTCGGCAAAATAAAGAAGCGTCTAGAATTTATCACAAATTTCTATCTCTTCCATTATTACCTGGAATGCACATTTCGGATAGCTTCCAACTACTAACCGAAGATTTAGGAAAATTGAACGCTTTAGATAGATTCAAATCATTTATAAAATATTTTGAGAATCAATGGATGCAAAAGGTACAATATTCCCTTTTACAGAATATTTACAAAAAGATGTTATGATTTCATTATTACAGATCGGTCCACATAACTTTTCAGTTTTCGATTCTGAAATCCGCACTACGTCTGCAATAGAAGCTTACAATGGCGTCATAGGAAAAAGCATTCCAAAGAAGGCTACTTTTTTCAAATTTGTAGCATTTTTACAGATGCAAGAATTTGAAAAAGTAAGAAAATTTGAACTATTGCTGAATACCAATGGTAGTGTGGGAAAAAAGCGTATTAAAAAGTCCTGTGTTTTGAAAGCAGATATGATTTCGAAATTCAAGAATGATCTCTTACAAGGTACTATAACTCCTTCTAAATTCCTTGACCAACTGGTGTTATCAAAAAATAATTTAATTGTACAAATGGAGCCTGATGAAGATCTTTTTGAAGAATTATCATATTTGGAAGAGGACATTGAAGACGATCGTTAAACCATATTGAAACCAACCAGAATACAATTAATAATAATATGTGTGTGGTTTGTTTCATAAAGCAGCCAAATATCTTATTTTTTCCTTGTAAGCACTTGAAAATTTGCAGTGAATGCTGTCTTACAATGCAAACTCACAAAATTGATCAAACCAGTAAACTAGTATGTCCATACTGTCGTGCAGAAGTTCATGAAACCCTTCAAATATTTATCTGATAAATAAATGATTTTTTTATGGAGGGGTGCGATAGAGCCATGAAATATAAGGCCATTATGGCTTTATTTCTCATTTTTTTCTTATGCAAAAAGTTATATATTGGACATTTCGTAAAAGGGACAACCATAATTTTTTGTCCTTATCTCTCATGGCTCTCCTTTTTTTGTTATAAACTACTTTATACTTACTATAATAAAAAAACTTTAAAGAAATGTGTACAAATAGGTACCGAACTTAACTACTGGAAAAACAATATTAAAAAAAATTGTTGATGAATTACGTATGTATGTGTTTTATTATATTTTTCAGGGTTCGTATTTGCACACACATGCGCAGCACATCCTAACATTTTACGCTCACACACGTGTGCTGTGCATATAAAAAATTAAAAACTTGCTCACATCACATGTGTGTGCTGTTTGGTAAAAAGCACGGGCTACACTGTGCCCTTTATTTTTATTAATATAAAGCACACGCACATGTGTGTGCTTTGCGTAGAGAAACTTATACACTTCGATTTCTATCTCAAATCTTAAAATAATTTTTTTATATGTTTTCTGTCATATAATAAACAAACAACACCTCACTTGTTATTGAATTGTCTTTCAAAAAATAACGTTTAATAAACAAATTCTTTTAAAAATATATTATGTGCATGTGCATGGGCTGAAATTTGTACAAAAATCGGCTCACACACATGTGCATGTGCTTAATAAGAAACAGCACACACTTTTCTGTGAGCAGAGTTTGTTTTCCACTTATGCACACACATGTGTATGAGCAGTGAGTACAAGTTGAATGTGTTTCTAGCGTGTGTGTGAGCAGAGCATGTGTGTGCAAATACGAACCCTGATATTTTTAGTAGGAATTTGGAATTCGTGTTCCATGTTTTCTAATATCACCATTACAAAATACAACTAATCCCAATACCACGTTAAAACTATAATACCGTCTACCATGCACTGGATCTTCAAGCCATTTATAAAGGTCGATAATTTTAATCTGATGGTCCTTCCGAAACGGTTTCCATCTTAATAATAAGAACAATTGATCTGTACTTAATCCATTTACGAATCCAAACGTTGTTACTAGTAGGCGTTCTCTATACGTTCCTTGACCGAAAAAAGAATTAATAATAAATTCTGGAACTCTATCAAAATTCGTAATATCCATTCCATTAAGAAGCCTTCTGCGAGCTTGCATACGATTTTTCTTTATTATTTCTCTGCTTTGATTATTCATATTATTCGACGTGTGTTTTTTTTCGAAGAGCCAAATACTTCTTATTTGAAATCGCATTAAACAGTGAAAAAGTGGGACTTATTTCGTTTATGAAAGTGGGACTTATTTCATTTTGAGTGGGAGTTATTTCATTTCAAGTAAATTTTTAAATCATTTCATTTTGGTGGGGCTTATTTCGTTTTCAAAAGTGGGACTTATTTCGTGGGAGTTATTTAATTTTTTTAAGCAATTTTTGGTGGGACTTATTTCGCTTTAAAAAGTGGGACTTATTTCGTGGGAGTTATTTCATAGACCCCGATGTCAGCCTTACTCTGAACGTAAACAAAAGAAAAATTGCAACTAATGTTCGAAATGTGGAGTGCGGCAAATAACAAAGCAAAACAAAAAGGTGGTGTTCGAAGGCAATGAGTGTAAGATTTTCGATTCGAAGGGCGAATTGATTGCAACAGCGTATGCGCATAACGATTTGTATAAGTTAGACTGCGAAAAAATTCTAGTTGGTAGAGCAATGACAACGATTGACAGCTTTGAGCTTTGGCATCGTAGGNGAGTTAGACTGCGAAAAATTTTCAGTTGGTAGAGCAATGACAACGATTGACAGCTTCGAGCTTTGGCATCGTAGGTTGGCGCATATTTGTAAACAAAGCATGAAGCAGGTGCAGAATTCAACTGTTGGAGTTAATTACAACGGCGCAAATGATAAAGGGTGTATTGTATGCTGTAAAGGTAAACAAACTAGAATAATTGATAAATCTGCTGGAACACGCGCACAAAATTAATTGGACATAGTACATTCCGACGTTCTTGGTCCAATTAGCACAAAGTCGTTCAGCGGTGCAAGATTTTTGTTGGTGTTTGTTGATGATTTTTCTCGAAAGGTTTTTGCTATACCAATCGTGCGCAAATCCGACGTATTTGAGAAATTCAAGCAATTCAAGAGCGAAGTCGAGACACAGTGTGGCCGTAAAATTAAAGTGCTAAGAACAGACAATGGCAGTGAATATTGCAATGAGCAGTTTATAAAGTTAACGAATGTGGTATTGTTCATCAAAAGACCGCTCCATACACGCCCGAACAAAACGGTGTGGCTGAGCGGATGAACCGCACATTGATTGAACTCGTCAGGTGCATGTTGCTAGATTCTGGTCTGGGAAACATAAGTTGCGTTTTTTTACTCATTTCCAGTAAAATCCAGTAAAAGTTTTTACGAATTTTCATGTTTTGGCGTTTTCGTACGCAAAAACTTGCAAAGTAGGGGAAATTGAGAGAGCGAAAAATGACAGCTGAAGTTGCAAGTTTTTACTGGATTTTACTGGATAAATTTTTACTTGTAAGAATTTGCCAGTACGAAAAACAGCTGATCGCATGTTGCTGGATGAAATTTAAACTAATAAGGAAACTGTTTGTGGCTTTTTATTGTTGAATTTCACAAAATAAACCTATTTAAATACAAAATATATTGTTTTATAAGGAATTTGCTGCGAATAAACAACCAATTTATCAGCTGTTCATGAAACTTGCAAATTATTACTGGAAAAGCGTTCGCGTACTTTTTTGCAAATTTTTTCTATGAGAGCGAATTCTTAGAAATAAAGTTACTGGAGAGTTACTGGCAAGTTACTGGATAATTTGTAAAAAAACACAACTATATTCTGGGCAGAAGCTGCAAATACAGCAGCGTACTTATTGAATCGCATTCCTTGTCGAGGCAACAATCGAAGTCCGGAGGAAATATGGTCTGGTGTAAAACCAAATTTGAAGCATTTACGCATATTTGGATGTACGGCGATGGTTCATATACCGAAACAAAACCGGTTGAAGCTTGATGCCAAATCAGATGAGTGTATATTTGTAGGGTACTGCACTGCTTCTAAAGCATACCGACTTTACCGAAAATCTGCTTTTAAATTTATTGTGAGCCGTGACATTACGTTTTTAGAAAATACAAGCTACTCAACAAAGAATACCCCTGTGGGGAAAATCTGTAGTTTTGAACTGGTGCGCTTCTAGTACATTTAGAACCACTACTAGTTCGCGATAAATCTCTTTTGCATGCAAACAACTGGCGAATTTAACACAGCGATGTCGTAGGAATTGGAAATTTTCCCCCGCTGCATTACCTTTTCTACAGTTCAGAACCAGTCCTAAATTCGAAATATGGGATCTAGTTCGCATTGCACCCCATTTTCCATAGTTTCGAACAAGTTGTAAACGAAAAAAGTAACAAGATGTTTTCTTTTTGGGTTACCATGGTAGGCATTTTTTAATTCTTTTCAGAGAAATGTATTTTCAATCTGAAATCAAATTTGTTTGAATGAATGTAAATTAAATTGTGCATTTGAAAACACGTTTACATACCTTTGGCTGTAGCTGAATTTGCAGAAGCGCTGACTGTTTTTGGTTATATTCCAGAAGATCCCAAAATGTTAATATGTTAACACAAATATTAGTTTTGTATTACCAAACTATGAAAAAGCATCTGCGACGTGCAGACTGAAAGCGTATTTGAACGAAAAACCCGCCAAGCAAAAATCTATTTAAAGTAAACAGCCCCCCGCTGCATCCCTTTTTCAGTAGTTTCGAACTAGTTCAAAATTCGCCAGATGAGATCTAATTCTTTCTGTATCCCTTTTTCTATAGTTTTGAGCCAGTTCTAAATTCGTCATTTTAGATATAGATTTCTAAAATTGTTTTTTTAAAGTACCACATACCACTGCTTTTGAACTGGTGGCGATCTAGTTACTATCGGACTGGTTCGTTTTTGGCGATAAAGATCTAGTACGGAACTACAAATTTGGTTCACCAATTCGGAGATTCCCTACAGGGACCGAACCGAATTTGTTTGTTGATATTGGTGATGCAAGGGAAGTTTGCGACGTTGACAATTCAGGGGAGGAAAATGAAAATGAATTGTCAGATGTCAGCAAATCTTCAGACAGTGACTAAGATACTCCTGATAAAAACGAAGTAGCTGTTCAGCGCACAATTTACAACCACAAAATGTGTCCAATCCGTCGTTCGGAGCGTATTGCAGGCAAGGCAAAAAAGAAATTGTTGTTGAGTGCGGTGGCTGATACTGATGACCCTGTAGCGTACGCTACTCGCGAGTAGCGTCTGCGTCGCAGCGCTTATACGTATACAGAAACGACGCAGCGAATTTCAATTCAGTCTGCTTTCAGTTTTCATGAGAGTGACACTACGCTTCGCCGTTGAATATTTTTATTCGTAATTTCAGAGCGTTGTTGCCACCTATATATGTAACAATGCCCAAAATGGCTGCGTATGAGTGCCAATTACAATTTTCGGTTTTAAGAAAAGCCAATAATGCCCAATGCTTGTTATGTGGTAATACGACTACTTGGAATCGTTCTTTTAATATAAGGCGACATTATTTGTCATGGTAAAAAAGTCAAACTGCCGAACTGTGTAAACCAATTTAAAGTGTTTTGTAATGGGTTTTATGTATATATGTATGTACGATACGGAAATTTAATATATTTAGTATACTTTATTGAATACTGAGTTTTTTACAAAGTTTAGAA